GTTGGGTCTGCCTCTCCCAGGCAGCTGCACTAGCCAGGCCTGGCTTATGTGCAGTCAGAGGGCCCCTAGGGGAGTCTTAGGTCACTGAGGCCTTCCCGCAGTGTTCAGATAGGTGATGTCAGGCCCAGAGGTGCAGAGCTGTTTACCCTTGTTTCCTGAGAATCCAAGGGAGGGGCCTTTAGGGTCCATATAGTTCTGTCCTCCAGCAGGTGACACCAAGTAGCCATTTAGCTATAGAGAAGTCTGAATAAGGAACAATATGGCTACTTTCACCAGCCTAGAAGTAATTGTAAAGGCCCATCCTGGCCTTTATACCTAATGATTAGCAACCAAAAGGAATGCACAGCTATTGTCATGCCAGTAGCTTCTGTCAGTGTGTGTGCACAAGTATGTACCTGGCAGGATGTGAAAATGGGGCTTTCCACCAGTTTGTCTCTTGGGTTGTAAGAAGCCTCTTTCTATAATTCACATGGGTTTTCCCCTTGGGGCCACTTGTATTGGATGTTGGTAACTGGGAAATGTTTGCATTTTAATTAAATTACCTAAGACAAGATAGTGCTTAAAAAAAAAAAAAAAAAAAAACAAAAAACCATGAATGGTCTTTCCACATGTGAAATTGTTTTCTCTTCAAAGAAATAAGGCAAGTGATGTTCCAACCTCAGCATTTGTATTTGTTTGCTTTTTGTTTCTTGGTTTTTGCTGAGCACAAAACTGCCAAACTCAGCGTGGAGAGGTGAACTTCCACGCTATGCCCTCAGCATCTAGGGTACTGGAGCAGGCACACAGGAGGCATAGAATACAGATTTGTTGGATATGAGTATGTGAAGCTGTTATGGGAATGTCCTTTCTAGATAGTCCTGGACCTCTTTTTTCCCACCCTAGTTTGGTTCTCCTGCCTCTTTCCAAGTCAGTCATCTCACTATTTTCTAACTCATTCTCTCCCTGACACTGGCAAACAGCCCTGCTTTAGAAAGAGTTGTTAAATCTGTTGGCAGGGCCCCCATATTGTCTTTTTAAATGGCTGTCTTGTGTCCACCTGTTGGGAGAAGCAAGAGCCTCCCCAGGTCTTTTTGGAGGAGCAAATCTAACACATTTCCACTTTATCCTGGCACCTTCTTGCCTAGAGCCAAACATGGAGCAGCATAATCACAACCCCAGGTTAAGTGAAAGTTAAAACTAAACTTAGAACTGGAAGCTTATAAAATTCACTTACAAACATTTTCAAGCACCTGCATTATGCCAGATACTGTTCTAAGTTGTTGAGGCAGCAGCAGTGAGCAAGACTGCCCTCGTGGAGCTGCGTCTCTGGTGGGAAGAGCAGATCAGGCACAAATACTGCAGAACATAAGTGGAGTGAGGGTAGCAGCCAAGAGAACAGTCCTCAGAAGAGGGGACAGCAAGCACAAAAGCCCTAAGGCAAAGAGATGTGGGGAGAGGTAGGGAAAGAGGTCAAGGAAGGAGAGGGGAAATGGGGGAGTGTCAAATCCTTGAGGACCTTGCTAGTCATGGCAAGGACTTTAGATTTTACTTGGTATAAAATGGAAAGCCAGTGAAGTTTTTGAGTCCGTGAATGCTGTGGTTTGTATGTGTCCCCTGAAGTTCATTTGTCAGAAGCTTAATCCTGAATGCAACCATGTTGAGAGGTGGGTTCTTTAAGAGATGATTAGGTCCTGAGTGCTCTGCCCTTATAAATGAATTAATGTCCTTATTATGGGAATAGGTTAGTTATTGCAAGAGTGGATTCCTGATAAAAGGATGAGTTCTGTTTCCTTCTTTCCCTGTCTCTCATTGTGCGTGCTCTCTTGCCTTCAGCCATGGTAATGACACAGCAAGAAGGCCCTCACCAGAGGTGGCCCCTTGGACTTCCACCTTGGACTTCCCAGCATCCAGAACCATATCTGGCCTTTTCATAAATTACTCCGTCACCAGTATTCTGTTACAGCAGCACAAAACAGACTAAGGCAATGAATTTTTTCTGAGCCCTCAATTTAAAACCATTCTATACTGCAGTATCTCTTCACATGTGGTACTAGAAGTGTTAGCACTAAGACTCCGGGAAAGAGAAACCAATTTAGCTCTTCTACTGGCCACAAATCCAACAATACCTAGTCAATTCCCTGTTTTAAGAGATGGCTTCAAGCAGAATAAACTCTTCCTAAGAATTTACAACTGTAAAACCTGGAGTTGGCTCTAGGTGGACCAAGACTTTTCTGGGACTGACATTGATTGAACATCTGTTAAGTGCCATTCAGGCATCCTGCCAGCATAAAAGATGAGTAAGATGGGACCTGCGCGTCAGGCCCTCACCGTCTAGAGTTGTGTTACCCGGTGTGGTAGTGACTGTGGAGCACTTGGAGTTCTGCTGGTAGTAAAGTACACACCAGTTTCTGAAGACTTCATGTGCAAAAAAGAGTGTAAAATACCTAATTCATAATTCTTTTAAAATGTTTAGTACATATTATTATGATACTATTTTGGGGGATTTTTATTGTTTTTTTTTTTGATACTATTTTTGAAGTAGTGTGTTAAAATATATTATTACAATCTCACCTATTTCTTTTTAACTATTTCTAATACAGCTAGTAGAAAATATAAAATTGCACACATGGCTGAAATTATATTTCTACTGAACAGTGCTAATCTAGAAAACAGGATCTGTTCTTTTGTAGGTTGGACTTTTTATTTTTGCTTTTTTGTTGCCACTAATAATGGTGTTCAGGTTTTGAGAGTTTACTCCTTTTCTGGGAAGAACCACTTGTTCTTTGACCATTGTAGGGGAGCCCTCATTCTATCCAGTTTCCTCCAAGAGCAAAAGAAATTATTTTGAGCAGTAAAAGGTAACTTCTGTAACTCTATAACCTCTACAAGTCTGAGCATTTTTACACTAGATTAAACAAACCTCTTTAACAGCCTCTAGTGGATGAGGAAGGGAATGAGCCACAAGTCTTTTTTTAAAAAATGCGTTTTGTTATGGAAACATTTTAAATATATATGAAAAGAAGACAGAACTGTGTAACAAACTGCTGTGTACTCCTCACCCAGCTTCAAGAATGGCTATTTCATGATCAATTTTGTTTCATTTGTACCCCTACCCACTTTCCCTCCTTTTCCACATTACTTTGGAAACAAACCCAGGCATCATGTTTCATCCACAAATATGTCAGTATATATCTCTAAAAATTAGGGATTCTTTCTTTGTAAAATACAACATAACCGAAGTAACATTGTCACACCTAACAATTATCAATATCTTAATATCATTAAATATCTGAACAATATCCAAATTTCCAATTGCCTTTTTTTTTTTTTTTTAGTTTTTTTTTTGACTTAGGATCCAAGAGTAACATCCACACGTTGCTGTTTTTTTTTGTTTTTGTTTTTGTTTTTTTTTTTTTTTTTTTTTTTTTTTTTTTTTTTTTGAGAGTCTTTGCTGTGTCACCCAGGCTGGAATGCAGTGGTGTAATCTCGGTTCATTGCAACCTCCGCCTCCCGGGTTCAAGCGATTCTCCTGCCTTAGCCCCCTGAGTAGCTGGGATTACAGGTGCACGCCACCACGCCCAGCTAATTTTTGTATTTGTAATAGAGACAGGGTTTTACCATGTTGGTCAGGTTGGTCTCGAACTCCTGTCATCGTGATCCGCCTGCCTCAGTCCCCCAAAGTGCTGGGATTACAGGTGCGAGCCCCCACACCGGCCCATACGTTGCTTTTAATTGCTGTACCTCTCGAGTCGCAGGCTCCCCTCGCTCTTACTGCATTGGCTTCATGCTCAGTCTCCACGTCTATGATGTGGGTATAATACTGCCATTCCAGCCCCACACCTCTAATGTGGATAAAATACTACCAATTCAGCCCCTCATGCCATAGAATAAGTCTCACTGCATCTCCTTGGTTCAAGAGTAGTCACATGGGCATCTCTGAACCAGTCACTGCAGCCAAGGAACCCCAAGGCTCTAATTAGCCAGGGCTGGTCACTTTCCATTCCTGGAGTCAGAGTAGAGTTACTCCAGATCTGGATCATAATCCCAAAAGACACAGTCTAGAACACTATAGTCCTGAATGTTGAAATTCCCAAAGATGAAAATTCCTAAAGTATAAATCTCTAAAGTCTAAAATCCCTAACATCTAAAATCCTCAAAATCACAGTCACGGATAGCTGCATCATGTTAGGCCAGCTCTTTGGACTATCTCCGTGCAATTGCCCGTAATCTATCCCCATAATACCCTTTTCATATGTCGAATTTTCTTTTTAGTTCTTTTTCTTATTTTAGTTTTTTTCCCACTATTTTAAATTTTCAGCATGATTTTTTATGTATTTCATCTTTTCTTCATTTCCAATACTGAACATACACATTGTGTAGAGACTTTTGGAAAATTCTGATTCATTAAATGCATTTTTTGCAAATTTAACTCCATAAAAATGCATCAGCACAGCATTGACTTTGTGTGTAAGCCTTGCACATATACATAAAAATGTTGAAACATCCTCAATAAATGAAGAGATGGCCTTTTATACAAATCCGAATTTATGAAAGAAAATTTCTTGAGATAACAGCTCTTTGGGCAACTGCCTATATGGTAACTGCGTGTCACAGTTTTTGATCTCATCAAAAGATTATTTGTCGCAGTATTTCAGATGACCAAATTTATAAAGCTGAGCACACACAATACCAACCGTAGTGATATGCATTTATATACTTCCCTTCTTGCCCTATTTCTTTGTGAATACAGATGTCTGCTTATAACTTCTATACCTGTGCTGCTGCTGTTAGAGTACCTGAGTGTTTATGCTTGCAAAAATATATGTGTCATTATTGTCTATTTTATTGTGTAAAATGGCCTATGAAGTGTTGTCATGTTTATATATGTTTCTTAAATAAATTCGCCTTTAAAAATGTAAATAAATGTCTTTCAAAGAATTCTCTATTATTTCTTCCAGAATTGTATTTTCAGGATTTTGATATTTTGGGATTTCAATATTCAGGATTCTGGTGTTCAGAATTGTCTCTCTCAGGATTATGATTGAGTCCTTCCCCACTCTATCTAATGTTAGCATGCCGTAGAGAATTTGGGTTTTCCAACCCACAAGTCTCCAAATTATTTGACTCTCACCCATCTTGGTTGCAGATCACAGCCAAAAAAAGGCCTCTCTTAACAAACCTGTATTTTTTCCCTCTGTGCCTCTAGTCAGTTTTCAGCCTACATTTATCTCTCTCCTGTGGATCTTACTAAAGGACACAAGAAACAGCCAACACATTGCACCATTCTAAATGTTTTTCTAGTGAATCCTTTAATGGTGTACCATGAGTAGGCCCCTGTCTTAGACCAAGGAGTCAATAGGTGGCAGCATAACTAGCTATTTTGTTGTCAGTTAACAAGGACTGCCAACTTTCCAGTCCAGGCCAGCCTGTGCTAGCCTTCCCGAACCTTCAATCAGCCAGTTGCACATTTTAGGCTTAGTCACATTCAACACTCACTTCTAGTACCAATTCCTATATCACTTAAGAGTCTTTGTATTGCTAATGATAGAAAACGTGACCGTACCAGCTTAAATAAAACAGAGAATTTATTTGCTAATATAAATTAAAGGTCTAGAAAAAGGCCATCTTCAGTTATAGATAGATTCAGGGCTCAACCAACAACACCAGCACTTGGTTTTTCTCCGTCTTCCAATTCCCATTTTGTTGGTCTTGGTTTTAGACCCCATGTGGTCAAAGGATGAGTGCAACAGGCCTATTCCCTACATCCTCACAGATCTGGTTCAGCCTCATCCCTCAGGGATAGAGCTCGCCTCAGGCTACAAGTTTCCTTGATTCTGATGATCACAAGCCATCACCAGAAGTCTCTAGGGCCAAATGAATGCAAGGCTCTGATGAGCCAGTCTTGAATCACATGCTTTTCCTCTGTCTGGAGTGGGAGTGAATGCCTCTGGATGCACATGTTTTGAGAGTGAGCGGGGGATGATTCTCCACACAAACAAATGGACATGATTATAAGTAGGGGGAATGGTTGCTGAGCTGCCGAAACGCAACGGAATACACTGCAGACTTTTCCCCCAGTAAGATTATGTCAATTTATATTAACAGGGCACAGAATACTAAAAGGTTTGTTTTTAATTTCTCTATGTTTCTGAGATGATTTTTAAATGATCAACCCTCTGCGTAGCTATACTGATAATTATATGGTAGAGAGGATTATTCCTTTGTTTCTGCTCTTTTAAATCAAATAATTCCCATTATTTTAACATTCGAAAATAGATTCTTACAGCTAATGCATATGTTTAATCTGGTAGTGTTTCTTTTTCACCCTAAAAATCTATAAGGTGTCATTCTGCAGTCTAAGAAGGAATAATGTAAGTTTTAGAACTGAGGAATGCAATATTATAAAACACCTTTCCACTACTGGGGCAAATACTGCACCATAACAGGTAGTCATGGAAATGCAACTTGAAAAACCAGAATTATTAAAAACTTATGTTGCCATATTTTACACATGCCACTGTTGCACTGATTCAGTCCATGTTGATTGGGGGCCACCGTAGGAGAGTTGTTGGCTGTGATTCTTCAGCACTTTTTCCACACTGGCGAGACCTACATTATTGTTTTATAATCTTCTGCCTGCTCTTGACTTTTTATTTCTATAGATTAATATGGAGGATTCTTTATGTGATTGGTCTGCAAGCCTACTGGTTATTGTTTTACTCTGTCATTAAGCTCAGACTGATGTATATTAAATGAGAAAGAGATATGCATTTAGAATTCTCTTTAAGTCCAGAATTGTGATTGTCCTTATTCATCCAGGCTTTCAATCTACTTATTTCAGGCCTTTGGTTATAGTATAACAACCTCTCCCATCCACATCACAGCCTTTCTTTCCACCCTCTTTCTTCTGCCTCTTCTTATACTTACAGAAAGGAGGTAGGTGGTATCACCTGAACCTGAAATGAGGCTGAAGACATTAATGGCACTGGACAGTGGAGTGGAGCCCAGGCTTTGGCCACTGCTCTGCTGCTGCCAGCTGTGTGACATGGGCAGGATGCCTACCTTCTCTGTAACCCTGTTTCTTCCTCTGTAAGTGGTGATGTAGACTTTGATCTCTACAAGTCTCCTGCAGCCTTAAAGTTCTTTTCTTTTTAAAGAATGTGACTGCTGGAAAAGCTGACACTGATCTGAGAACTCCACTTCACTGAGGAAGACCAGACAGCACTGTTACATCCAGCACCTGTGGGTCATCCACTGCAGAAGTGGCTTCCAAAGCCTCTGAGGTCAGCAGTGTGGTTGGAGCTCTCCCCTACCCACCACATGATCTCTCCCCATCTCCAGCTTTTCTTGCCTTATTTCCTTTACCTTTTTATTTCCTCCCCTTCCTTTCTGATTGGTTGTTCTAATTGTTTTCAATTTTCTTAATCCATTTTTCTCTTCGCATTGCCCAATGGCATAAGCCACCTGCACTGCATAAGACTCTGCCTGCATTGCCAAGCCCACTGATGGGCCAAGGGTTTTACCTACTGACCTTTTCTCTGGAAAATTTCCCTTTAACAGCTTCTCCCAAGAAGGCTTAAGTCTAGTCTTGGCATTTGTTTTTTACTATTTCAGGGGGAACAGTCTTAAGCTTTTAAAGGAATATTATGCTGGGCAGCGTGGTGGTTCACGCCTATAATCCCATTACTTTGGGAGGCTGAAGTGGATGGATCACTTGAGGCCAGGAGTTCGAGACCAGCCTGGCCAACGTGGCGAAACCCTGTCTCTACTAAAAATACAAAAAGATTAGCCAGGTGTGGTGGTGCATGCCTGTAGTCCCAGCTAGAGAGGCCGAGACATGAGAATCACTTGAACCTGGGAGGTGAAGATTGCAATGAACCAAGGTCATGCCACTGAACTCCAGCCTAGGCAACAGAGTAAGACTCTGTCTCAAAAAAAAAAAAAAAAAAAAAAAAAAGGAACATTATGCTATAGTAGAATTTGTAAGAAACATTGATTTTCTTTTTCATTCAACAAACACTTATTTTCAAACACCTACCAGGTGTGAGGTGCAGCATTAGATGCTACAGCAACAGCAGAAACAAGATGGGACAAGGTCCCTGCTCTCATAGAGCTTGAATTCTAGTAGGGAGAGACATACAAGTAAATAAACATAAATAAGACAGTGTCAAGTGGTGATGTGTGCTATACATAAAAGAAAACGGGAGCAGAAATGGGTCATGAGGGAGAGCATTTTTGCTGACATTTGAAGAATAAAAAGGAACCAAAAGATGAGTGTACCAGGGGAGAGTACCAGGCTTACAAGTAAAAGGCCCCAAGATGCAAATGAGCTTGGTGCATTTAAGGAACAGAAAGGTGTGGAAGGTAAATTAGCAAGGCAGAGTATTACTTGAGATGAAGGCAGAGAGTTAAGGAGGGGCCAGATCTTGTGGGTCCCTGTGGACCTAAGGGTTTGGACTTTTTAAATGAAATGAGAAGTCATTGGAGGGTTTTAAGTAGGGGAGGAACATTATCTAATTTATGTCCTATTGTGCATAGTAGACACCTGATAAATGTGTCCAAAGTTGATTGTAGGAATAGACTCAAACTACACAACTACTCCCTTGCGTGTCTTGGGAACTGCAGCCTTCTAGGTGACATACTCCCTTCTAAGTGAGCTTTTCCTAAGGCAGGGGTCCCCAACCAGTCTATGGCCCGTTAGGAACCAGGCCACACAGCAGGAAGTGAGCAGCTAGTGAGCCAGCGTTCCCTCCTGAGCTCTGCCTCCTGTCAGATCAGCTGCGGCGTTAGATTTTTAGAGGAGCAAGAACCCTAAAGTGAACTGTGCATGCGAGCTCCTTCTGAGAATCTAACACCTGATGATCTGAGGTGGAGCAGTTTCATCCCGAAACCATCCCCACCCCCTGCCTCCACTCCGTGGAAAAATTGTCTTCCACAAAACCGGTCCCTGGTGCCAAAAAGGTTAGGGACCACTCCCCTAAGGGATGGAAATAGCCATGAATGGTATGTGTACTGAGAGAGATAGAGAGATAGATAGCTTGAGAGAGAGAGAGAGAGTGTGTGTGTGTGTGTTTGGGGTGTCTTACTTAGAGAACTTCAAAATAATTCTGTAAATATATAGAGAAATTGTCATATTGCCTGTGTTCTTTTTTTAGACCCGACTATAATTAGACTTCTTCAAAGATTCACTCAGGCGTTTACTTAATAGTTGATCAAGTTTTCTGTTTTCCTGAGGGTTTGTATCAGGGGAAGTGCTGATTGCTGCAGGCCTCCGCCTCTGTCCAGTCCCACGCCTGCAGGTATTTATTCGTGTGTTAAGTCACAGGTGGACACCAGGCCAGAGTGAGACAAGAGGCAGTCTCTGCCTTCAAGGGGCTCCAGGCAAAGCAGAGGACTCTCAGTCACTTATTCTTGGATATACCACTCCAGGAACTGTGCCCACGGCCTGGCATCATGAATCTGCTCATGCAGTTAGACTCCTATCTCAGGGAATTTTGAGTTTAAAAGATCCTTAGACACCATCTATCCCAGTACTCTCCAGTAGGAGCACTTCTGGTATTTTGGGTGGGACTGTCATAAGCACCATAGGAAATTTCACATTCCGGGCCCCACCCACTGAGTGCTACAGACCCCTGCCCCCACCATTCCCACTCACTGCTCTCCACCCCCAACAGCTACCTGAGTTGAAAATTACTCATCTGGCCCAGTTCTATCACTTTACAGGTAAGGCAGTGTTGGACAACGTGTGTTCTTTTCATGCCTCTGGCCTCTGATCCCAGCAGAAACAGGACCCAACATTCAGATTTTACAGTGAAGCTAGTTTCTGAACTATGCCTCTCTTTTTAATTCTTCCACTGTTACTGTTTTTTCAGAGTTATATGCTACGTGTTGCAAATGTAAGTCTGAACCTTTAAGATGAGTTAAGAAAAAATTATGAGCATTTTCAGATCGTTCTATACGTAACTGAAGGTTTTGATAAAATGATTTCTACATGTATTCCATTGCCATTCACCTCTTGAGTTCTTTAATAATGAGAAATCTGACTTTCTTCCTTCTGCCCTCTTTATCTCTATGCTTTTGTCAAACATCTTCTAGGAGAGTTACTGTTACCCCATTAAGTGTGGGGGACAGAAACATTTTGGCATAGAAAGCTATGGATCTGCAGCTGAATTAAGCTGCATATCATTTACCCTGACTTGGGCACCAAAATCACGTTTCAAAACTCATTTGCTGCCAGGTATGGTAGCTCAAGCCTGTAATCCCAGCAAGTTGGGAAGCTAAGATGGAAGGATCACTTTGAAGCTAGGAGTGTAAGACCAGGTTGGGCAACAAAGCAAGATCCCATCTCTACCAAATATAAAAATAAAATAAATTAGCCAGGTGCAGTAGCATATGCCTGTAGTGTCAACTACTCAGGAGGCTGAGGCTGGAGGATCACTCGAACCCAGGAGGGGCCACAGGGAGCTATGATTATGCCACTGCACTCCAGCCTAAGTGACAGCAAGACTCTGTCTCTAAAAAAAAAAAAAAAAGAAAGAAATAAAACAAAACCAAAAAAAGAACCTCATTTGCCTTCATACACCTGACCTGCTCTCTTCACCTGCATTTGTAACTTTCTCCCCACACATTTGAATGCCCTGTAAATGAGAGAAGCCCTTAGCCTAATGAAGAGATAAGGTAAGGTAGGTAAGAGCTTTTCTTTCTTGAGTGACTCTTTTCCCTATTACTTAATGGAATAGTCAGTATTTACAGTGATACTTTCAAATATAATTTTCCTAAAGGAATCTCAAGTTCCATGAACAGTTATTTTTGTGAGAATATCTAGAATAAAGTTGGACTCTTCACGGAGTGGAGGTGCTCATCCCCTCTTGTCACTGTACCAAATAGCTGTGTATTACACCTTGTGGGGAGGAGAAACATTTAATTTTTTTAAATTTAGGGTTTTTTTCTTGCTTGCTTCTTAAGCAAAACCAATCTAGTTTCTTTTTCTGCAGCAAAGGAGGAAGGAACAAACAACAAATTAATCAGACAGGAAGCGAATAACCGCAGAAGGACGTCTGCCTCTGACTCAGTATGTCACATTTAACAAGAGGCCAGAGCTTGTCCAAAATGGCTGTCCAAAAATGACCTCACACTTGCGTTAGAAGATGATACCTTTTTCAGGGACAGTATTCTCTCTTGGCTTCTGTCCTGCTGGCCCTCTGTCTGCCTGTGTCCCTGACCATGGCTCCCTGCAGTACCCTTTAACGGTAAGAAAAATTATATTCAAACTAAGTTTATTTCCTTTATCAGCTACAGGGAAGAACTAAATGGCTTTTAATGGACCATAGTATGTCGAGATAAAGTTGTTTAATTTTTCTGTGGAACACCACGTGAGCTATTCCTGTTGCTCAGAATGCTAGTTTCACCACTATGGTGATTGTGAATGATTCATAACTTATGCTTTGAGCCAAAATGTAAGCAAGATCTTCAATAGAATTTTTCTTGACCACTGGACAAGTTTGGATCCACAGGAATTTATTTTCCCATTTAAATTGGAGACTTATGTCAGTAAATATATCCTTTTGGTATATGATACAGTTGTCCACACAACTGCCTTTGAATCTTTGGTGTGGCCAGTAACAATAAGTGCTTTAAAGTTCAAGGAGCCATTGGAAGCTTCAAACAAAAATACCATGGAACTAAGCTGTTGGCAGTTCTGTTGCTGCCGATGTGCTATTTAAGTTCAAAACTCAAACTAAACCATTTCTTAGCAGAGTCTTTTAGAATATGATTTGTCTTTTAGAATAAGTCTATTCCTGTTATAACAGTGTGTGTACAATTACTATCGCAAATCAAATTCTGTAGCATTAATTATAACTTTATGTTAAATATGATTAATGTTTTGGCATAAAATATTGTGATTTTTAAAATTTCAAGCCATATACTCAAGAGACTTACAGAGCAGAACTAAGGAAACTTTTTAGGTTAAAAAAACTTTTTTCTAGAATATGTAGGAAAAAACAACTTGACTTATGTTCCTTTCTCCCCGTGGAGAAATATAAAATAAAGCTTTGCAAAACTCAGAAGGCACATACAACTTTAGTCACTAAGTACAAGGTTTTTGGTTTTTTTGTTTTGTATTTTTAGTAGAGACGGGGTTTCACCATGTTGGTCAGGCTGGTCTCAAACTCCTGACCTCAAGTGATCCGCCCACCTCAGCCTCCCAAAGTGATGGGATTACAAGCATGCAAGTTCTTTTAAATAATTTAATGGCATACCTAGTATATGTAGTAGAGAATGG